GGTTGTCCGGCTGGATGGTGGGGGTGAGCCGGCGGAGGGGTGGGGATGGGGGGGGGGTTTCCCTCCACGAGGGGGGGGCCCTGCCCGCCGCCTCGCCCTTGACAGGATTTGGGGGGCTTTGGACCTTTCCCGATCCGAATTAGGGGGGGCTGCGCTTTCCTGCAGTGCCAAGGCGCGCCAGGGCGCACCAGGGCGCACGAGGGCGCGCAGGTGGGGAGGGTGGAAGGACAGGGAATTGGGGTCCGGGGGAGTCTCCAAAGCATTTAGGATCCCTCCCCTCCAAACTAGGGGGGGGGGAATGGTGGTGTGGGGTTCTGAGACTACAACCCCCAGAATCCTCTGCTGCCCGGTGCATGATGGGAACGGTAGTGCTCGGAGCCACCCATCTGCCCGCTCCGGCGTGACCTTAACAAACAAACGCAGGAGAGAGACCCGGACAGAGCCAGGAACGCCCCGTGGGTTTCGTTTCCAAAAAAACCCCGGAGCGACGGTTGCAGGAGACCGGCGGAACCGCGCCGGCCCTGGTGATGATGATGATGATGTCGCTTGGTTTGTTCGTTTGCCCTTCGCGTCCGCCCTGGCGCGGCAGAAGCCACTGGGAAGAATTCTGGGAGTTGTAGTCTCCCCGTCCGTTGCAAACTCTTCCCCCACCCCACCCCGTGCTCAGAATCTAACCGAGGATCGTGGCCAGTAACTTTTTCCAAGCACCGGGATCTTTCAACCGGCGTGAATGTGTGGGACGGATGGGATTGTGGGTCCTCTAACCTGTGGGGCCTTGGCCAGTTTCAAGGAGTTGTGTGTTGCCCACCCGATCCTAAAAATGGGAAAAGATGTAATACAAAGGGGGGAAGTTCTCAAGTTGGCCTTCAAAGATGGTTGTAGGTGACACTAAAGTGGGTGATCCTAGTTATTATTATTGTTACTGTGTTGGAACCGACTTAATCACAACCCTAAAAGGGCTTTCAAGGTAAGTGTGATATTGAAGGAGTGGTTTCACCAGTGCCATACCCACAGTTAATTTCCATGGTGACTCAGGGATTCGAACCCAGGCCTCCTGAGCCTGTCACTCTATTCGCTACACCACACACAGAGATCCTGACTTAAAAGTATACATGCGTTAGGCAGTTTAACTGTCTTTGCTCCGTCTTAGGGCATCTTGGAATTTGTAGTTTGGTGGGATTCTTAGAGGAGAGCCCCCCGAGGAGTGGGAGCGTGGCGTGGGGGGGGGCATGGGATATAGCACTTGAAAGAGCAACCTAATAAACAGCACAAAACGTCTTGTACAGGCTTAAAGTCTCGCTGAATTATTGTTTAAAACACCAGAATGCTCCTGTTCTTTCTGCTACCACTCTGGCATCCAATAAAGCCGAACCAATAAAATATCCAATTAAAAAAAACACCCGAAAAAAGTCCCTAGGACAGATTCTGACAAGACTTGGCTGAGAATGACTAGTTTTTTCTCCCCTTTTCCCCCCTCTCCGCAGGGTCTCTGGCGGCCATGTGGCCCATCTTCTGGGCGACGGTGCGGGGTTATGCCCCCTATGTTACGTTCCCTGTTGCCTTTGTGGTAGGGGCCGTGGGGTACCACCTGGAGTGGTTTATCCGTGGCCAGCCCTCTCCGCCGCCTGAGGACGAGAAGAGCATTTCGGAGAAGCGGGAAGAGCGCACCCTACAGGAGAGCGCCGGGAAGGACCTCACCCAGGTGGTCAGCCTTAAAGATAAGCTGGAGTTCGCCCCCAGGGCGGTCTTGAACCGGAACAGACCTGAGAAGAACTAGTGGAGAAGTCTTTGGCCTCTGGGTGGCCGGCCAGAGTTTCTTCACCGTTGGCGGAGAAATTCAGAGAGATGTGGCTCTCCGATGTTCTTTTCACCCTGCCAGGAGTGGATGCTGGCGGTCAGATGTTCTCGGAACTGTCATCCTCGCTTTGCACCCTATGAAGGAGGGCTAGAGGCATGGAAGCCCACCAGAGATGGCTCCCTGGATTGGGAAATTTTTTTTGTGACTCTGTCCATTTGACCGAATGACGTAATGGATGAGTTTTGGGGGAAGAGTCCATTCTGTCAGCGCAGGATGTACATTTTCATCGTCCCTTTCCCTGGCATACTCATGGTTTGGCTTAAAAAAAATCTCCTTACCCCCCACCCCAGTTCTTTTTCATGTGGCTTTGGAGTTTTCCAAAGGAGGAACGGAAGCCTGTTTCCCTTACGAACTTTCTAAGACAAGTTTCTTTTGGGTCTTATAAAGCAGTAGCCAGGATTTCATCTCCATTTTGCTCCTTTTATGCAAGAAAACAAGGCATGTGTCCCCAAAGGAGTTATTGTGGGTAGGAGTTTGGTCACAGAATGGATGCCGATTGCTTTGGATCTGGGTCTCTCATTAAAAGTTCAAAAAGTGTTTGAAAACGTGGAGAGTTTGTCATTTCTGAGGCCGGTATCCCTGCAGGTTAAAGGGCCTAAGGGTCTGGCTTGCAAAATCCAGGACTCTTTAGGATCTGACTAGGGGATTTGTAATGAATATCAAGAAAGGAGGCAAAACATCTCAGCTTAGCTAATGATGGCTATTCGTGCGGGGCAGGGGTGTGAGGAAAGATCAGGTCTGTTGTGACCAGAATGGCAAAAGGGATCAGAATCTCACTATAAGACTTCCATGGGTACCATTAAGTTGTATCCAACATATCCTAAGAGGGTTTTCGAGGTAAGTGAGTTTCCGTGGCTGAGTGAGGACTCGAACCCGGGACTCCTGAGTCCTAGCCCATTACTCTATCCACTAAAAAACCCTGTTAGGATATAGAATCACAAGTCGTCTTGTACTTGATACGCTTACTTGAGCGTTTCAGTCTAATGAGGATATATTGTGCGGACAGAAGGATCCAGCGTTCCATGAGCCAACTTAGAAAATAGGGGTGCCCCAACAACACAAAATATGAAATTGGACCCCGGATCAGCACCAAATTTGGCATGGATGTAAAGAAAACCAGCTCTTGCTACATGCCAAATCGGGATGTTGTGGCAAAAGGTTTTGAAGATACAATATTTTTTTAAAGGTAACACTGTTTTGACCCGATACAGAAGCAAGCAATTTTGACCTACGGCTGATTTAAAACAGATCAAATATTGAAAAGACCAAATTTGCGTACCTGGGAAAAAATGATTGCACTCCCAGCCACTTTTTTTTTTAATTCAAATGAGAAAGCTATCCTGAAATTGTTGATAGCTCAGATTCCAGAAACAGACCGTATATGATCCGCTTGTCCACCCCTCCGGAAAGAAATTCTATGTCTGCTGTTTTGCTCAACAGTGCCAGCAAATTGTTTCTGGGTGAATTCTGGCAGCCCTCTGAATGAGTGAACTCCAAAAGCAACTGTGCAGCCTTGCTCAGGTCTTGCACAGTCAAAGCTGTGGTTCGTTTGCTGAGTATATCCATCTCGTATTTGACCTTCCTCTTTTCCTGTCACCTTCAACTTTTTCCAGCAGAGCAGTGCCCTCTCTTCTAATGGTGTGCCTCAAATTCGAGAGCTTCAGTGTTTATCGTTTAGATCAGGGGGTCTCCAACCTTTTCACAGCGAGGGCCACATAATATATTTTCCATATTTTCGAGGGCCAAAGGAACACATGTACATGTGCTTACACATGCATGCATGCATGCACACACTCCTGGCCATCCATGCGCATGCACACGCGTCTGTCCACTTGCACGCATGCACGCGTGCGTGGGCCAGATAAAAAGGCAAGATGGGCTGAATGTGGCCCGAGGGCCATACTTTGGAGACCCCTGGTTTATTTTTAATGAAGGCATTAGGAAATCCCAGCATCAGGATTCTGCACGAAGTTATGGCCCCTCTTCCTGTGCTTTTCACATTCCCGCATCATCTGTCTGGTGCTTTAAACCAGTGGTTCCCTAAATGCGCCATGACCCCCCCAATGTGCTGCCAACCCAGCTGGGGATGCTACGGAATCCTTAAAAGTCCTCTGTGGAACCTGCAGAAGTCCTACTCAGTCCGAGCTTCCCCGCTTCTCCTCCCACACCCAAGGGGGAGCTTCGGCCAGTGGCCAGTAAGTCAAGGGAGCCTTAAGTTGAAAACTTTGGAAACCACAGTTGAACAAATGCCCAGTGAATGCATGATGTAATGCCATCATTCCCTAGTAACCCCTTTAAACAGGAGCAGAAGAAATGGAAAAAAAATGTTTTACTTGGACAATAACCATAATTGCATGCCATCAAGTCAGTTCTGACTTAACGACGACCCTTTTCAGGGTTTTCCAGCTAGAGAGTACAGCCAAAAGTGGTTCACCATTCCCTTCGTTTGGGGCCATCCGCAGACTTAAATGTGCTGTATTTTACCATGTTCGCAAGTTGCGCTTCAAATGTACTTTCTGTGCTTATCTTGTTTTAATTAGTTTGTGGAAGAGCTGAGCTCTTGTAAGGGATGCCTGTTTGTTGATTTATTTATGCTGCTGTCTGGTTATTAATTTTAATTCATTATATCGTCAGCTACACTGTTCTGTTTTTAGAGAGTTTGGAATGTCGGTGTAGCTGAGAGCGCTCCCTGTCCAGCCTATGGGGGAAGAGGAAAGGTGGCTTACTCACCCCCAGCCACTCCAAAAATGGTTAAATGGGAGACTCACATAAAAGTACCTCTTGCTAGCAGGAAAGAGGAGAGGGGACCAGAAGCTCAGCCGGAAAGCTATGACTGCAGAATCCTTGAGGACAGCAGGAGGCGGCCAGCCTCAGCCCTAGGATTGTCCAAGGACTGCCAGCAACCTGGTTTGCCACCCTGGCAGACTTCGAAGCTACCAACTCCAACACGTATCTGCCTCCTTCACAGGAATGGAGTGGTTTCAGGCTGGTATATGGGCTATCTAGCTGTACTTTCCTTGTGCCCAGATGGAAGGACTTTTAGCCACCCTTTCCTGCAGTAACTGGAGAGCCTGGACATGGTTTTTTCTGTTGTAAGCAAGCTTTTCTGTTGGACTTTTTCCCTGGCTGTCTACGCCTTGAGCAAACCTGGAAAATAAGCAGCAGCAAAACTTCCATGCCTCCCTTTACAAGAAGTGTGGGGTCTGGTAGAAGCTGAGATACCTCTGCCTTGATAATTATCTTGTATTTACAGGTGCCTTGCTTGACGAGCATAATTTGTTCCGTTGAAATCGCTATTAAGTGAAATCCTCGTCAAGCGAAACGAAAAAGCTCATTGAAATGCATTGAAAACTGGTTCAATGCGTTTCAATGGGCTAAGTACCTCAGCGTCCAGTGAAGGTCCTCCATAGGCGTGGCCATTTTCGGTGCCTGTAAGCGAGGCATCCGTCCTAAAACACAGCGGGGAGCCATTTTGCACAGCGGGCGGCCATTTTAGAGTCGCCGATCAGCTGTTTTAAAATAGTTGTCTAGCAAAAAATCAGTTCCTGAAGTAGGGACCCGATCATCGTGAAGCGAAATTTCCGATCGCAAAAACCTCATCGTAAAGCGGATTCGTTGTTTAAAGAGGTAATCGTTAAGCGAAGCACCACTGTAGTTTAGAGTTGTTTCCTGCCCAAACATTCATAGTGTCCACGTAGTTAGGTTTCAGACAGCTAGGTTGGCAGGAGCTGGGACAGGCGACGGGAGCTCACTCCGTTGCGTGGATTCGATCTTACGATGGCTGGTCTTCTCACCTTGCAAGCACAGAGGTTTCTGTGGTTTAGCCCACAGTGCCACCACATCCATTTATTCATACATAATCTATAAATTTTCTCCAAATACCTATAAAAATATTCTTACTTAAACCTTTTTCGACTGTCAATTTATAATTAATGGCTATATTTCAAATTTCTTTATAACACTTATTGAATTGCACGTCATATTTTACTTTCCATTGCCTTGCCATCATTAACCATGCTACTGTTCATAAATTTGATATTGTTTTGTATCAAATGTATCAAGATGGCTGCACAGGGTCATCGAAGTGACCAACATGAATCTGACCGAACTCCAAGAGGCCGTGGAAGACAGGAGGGCCTGGCGTGCTCTGGTCCATGGGGTCACGAAGAGTCGGACACGACTTAACGACTAAACAACAACAGGGTTGGGGTAGAGGAAACCACTTTCCAGCACTTAAGAACTTTAGAATAATAATCTTTGAACTGCAGAGCTGGAAGGGACACAATGGATCATTGGGTCCCTCCCCTGCCAAAAGAGGCACCGTGGTGGAATCGAACTCTCAACCCTCTGGCTTTGCAACCAGAGACCTAAAGAGCTGTGAAACTCAGAAGAGCCAAAGCAGAACAGCCATGTTCAAGTGCACAGCTGGAGCAGAAGTTTGAGCCTGTCAAGTATTCCTCGCCTGCTAGCTGAAAAGGCAGAGTGGGGCTCCCACTGTCCTTCACCCCTTTCATGGGTTTCTCTTGCTTGCGGTTTTTTTCCCCCACCTTCACCCAAATAAATCTGTCTCTAGGTCTCAAACCTTCCCATCACCCGTTGGCTCGGCCGGCTTGGTGGCTGATGAGAGATCGGTGTCCTTGCGGCCATGCCAAAAAGGGGGTGGGTGGGTTAAAGGACACCTTATATCCGGCAGATGGGGGAAAGGATTGAGCAGCTTGTGGCTCCGTGACGAGCCGGCAACAGTTAGCCTCGCAAAGTGCAGTAAGATATCTTTGCCTGTTGCCTCACGTGGAGAGCCTAGGTAAACATGAGTGGCTTGCGCGCCTCGAGCAATGACGGGAGAGATTTTTCAGAGTCTCCAGAGGACGGGAGAGATGCGGAGATGTTGATGTTATTAAAAACTGTGGATTTAGAAAGGGAGGACGTCTCCAGGCAAACTTCCACAAAAGACAGTAGCATCCGTGTTTGGATTTCCTGTGGACAGATGTGCTGCTGCATCCCGCATATTAACTCACAATACAAGATGTGCCGTCTTTCGTATAAGTACAGTACCCCAATCTTTGGTGTCGGACGCAGTTGATGACTTCTGATGTAGGCTAATGTTGTCTCAGAATCCTAGGAGAAACCTTCCCTTGTTTTCTCTAACTTTATATCACACCACATTAAATCACACTGGCCATGTGACCACGGAAAGATTGTCTTCGGACAAACGCTGGCTCTATGGCTTGAAGAGCGGGATGACTGATGTAGGCTAATGTTGTCTCAGAATCCCAGGAGAAACCTTCCCCTTTTTTCTCTAATTTTATATCACATCACATTTCCCTCAGTCCTCTGGACCCCAAACTAGACGGGGGAACCTTTACCTTTACCTTACATTTGCCTCAGTCCTCTGGACCCCAAATTAGGTGCACCTCCGTCGTTCCTCAATGCACAAAAATGTTGCACCCCTCAAAATTAACAGGCAGTATTTTTCCGCGATGGGCGAGACACACATTCCTTCTGCACCAGAAACTTATCTGCCTGCACAGGCTGGGGAGTTCTTGC